CCACGCCGTGCACAAGTGTTCCCAGAGACAGGACCCGACAGAAACCTAGCTGCCAGGCTGTCCTTGGGCGGGCCCCACTCCCAGCCCTGAGTGTCTCCAGGGAGACTGAAGTGTGTGCCCCATTAGTGGCTTTAGATAAGGCAGCAAGGTTTCCAATGGTTGTTTTTAATTTTTTTAAAAGAAACGTGGCCCTTAAAAAAAGTATGCAAATTTATTTTATTTATTCATTCACCTTAGTTGTCTTAAATTCTGTCTTGAACAAGGTAGGGTATAAATTGAAAAAGTAAAATGAAAACAAAAGCTTAATAAATATAAACACTCAAATTCCATAGTCAAGCAAACATGCTGCCCGTTTGTCCCATATTTTCCTTTCTATTGTTTTATTATTAAACTCACAGCAAACAAAAGCTTTCAATTGAATTCTCTTTTAGGAAGAAAGAAAGTGGTGTTCTGGCGGCTAATACAAAAGCAGAGCACACAAATTCCAAGAGGCAAGTGTTTCAAATGCCCACTTGGGAGGCTGGCTCTAGGCTCATCAAAGGCATACATATGTACATTTAACCCTGTTATCTGCTTTTTTTGTTTTTGTTTTTTGTTTTTTGGTTTTTTGAGACAGGGTCTTACTGTATAGTTGAGACTGACCTGGAACTCACTATGTAGCCCAGGCTGGTCTTGAACTCACAGAGATCCTCCTGCCTCAGCCTCCCGAGTGCTGCGATTACAGGCGTGTGCCACCATGCCCGGCTAACCCTGTTATCTGCTGATCACAGGAATGACACTGGAACTGGCTGGGATGTCTCCATGGCTCTCTCCTCACCCACAGGCAAGACTGCCTCACGGACTCTGCCTCCTCCCTGCCCCTTCTCACTGACACCTCACAACCATACTTGTACTGTGGATCTCCCTGTCTTTAACCCAGCAGACACTATCTGGATCATCCCTACCGCTAGGCTTAGCCCCAGCTTCCAGGAAAGCCCCCAGTTATCAATTCCTCTCCACAGGAAGCTCAGTCCAGAGCGAGAACTGTCTGTTTTTTTTTTTGAGACAAGGTCTTATTGTGTAGCCCAAGCTTGCCTTGAACTCTGGTCAATCCTCCTTCCTCAGCCTCTCAAGTGTTGGGATTACAGCATGTGGTATCCTGCCTGTCTGAGACAGATTAACTGTCCATAAAAGTGAATACACTCAACACTGAAAAAAAAAGAGCAAAGAATACTTCGGGAATTTATGACCTAGCAGTTAGTGTAAATTCTAGTACTATGATCTTTTCTTTCATAGCTCCTGAGATGGAGGCCAGGGACTGGCATGTGCCAGTTGAGCGCTCTGCCACCAGGCCCTTTCGCAGCCAGGCAGTGTGTCTCCTCAGCAGTATGACAGATGGACAGCAAATTCATCCTGGAGGAGGCACATCAAGGCTCTTCGCTTGCACACACACCTTTTAAGCAAAACCTCACACTTACCCAGACCCAGGAAGTAATAAATGCTAACCGAGTCCCTGTTTATGCCAAGTATTTTACATACACCCTACCTGTTACAGCAGCACATGGCATCCCAGTGAGCACTCAGTACATTATTGTTACCTGTCACCTACATTTCAGTGCTGAGAAAACAAGAGCAGAACATGCACACCTGTAACCCCAGCATCGAGGGAGACCGAGTACAGCCTGCAGTGAGACCCCACCTCAAAAAACAAAACAAAACAAAACAAACAAACAAAAAACCCAGAAAGGATTAAACTACTAGCAAAGAAGCCCAAAGTCCTAGCAGAGAAAAAATAGGATTCAAACCAGGACCACTTGGCTGTAAAATGCATACCTCTCTCCCTCTATCTTGCTTTGTGTCAGGTTTTTTGTTTGAGACAGGGTCTTACCATGTAGGCTGGCCTTGAACTCAAGGCAAGCCTCCTGTCTCAGCCTCCTGAGTGTTCGGCCATCATGCCCAGCTCTTTTCCTGTCCTCTTAAGGATCTCTGCAGTGCAGCACAGCTGCTTCCACTTTGCAGATAAGTAAAAGGATCTGAAAGCTCGCTTGAAGGACTTGTTCAAGGTCACCCAGAGGCAAGTAGCACGGACCAAAATTCTTGGTTCTCAGCCTCTTGGCCTCCTGGATGCCCTGCTGAGGAATGTGGTCACCAGAATCATCTCTGGTTGGGGACAGCCAGGCGTAATGTGACACGCCCAGTGCACACTCTTAACAAGGGTTACTGTTCAAACCCTGAACAAAATGGAACATGTCCTCACGGACGCTGTCAGCTCCCACGAGGTGAGACACACAGTAAATGGGTGTGCGACTCACTTCAAGCCCCAGGGACCAAGCACGCACAGCTCGGACAAACTCTCTACTGACCCACAGGTGGCCGAGCTGACCCCTCCTCTGTAGGAGACTCTGAGCCCAGGTCACCCCTGAGAGGGATCCACCAACCTTCCTCTGCCACTAGGCCTCTCTTCCCACAGGCGCCTCACTGCGCTGCAACCTGCTGCCAGGGAAACCCAAACCATGAAAAGCTGCGGAAAGAACAGTGCGCTTGAAGCCAGGGAAGTGGTGCACAGGGCTTCAGGGAATGCTTTTTGTTGGCAGGAGGTACTCCTGTGCTTTTAGTTTCCTGGCCATTCTAGAAGGATGAGAACCACAGAGCATTAACCTCAGAGATACATGGGTTCCTGGGAAAAACGTTATTTTAACTTAACAGTGGTGTCTTTTTTAGGAAGTCTTTAAAAGGAGTCTGGTTTCTCAAGGCTACACTGATTAGGATCAGAGATTTTAAAACATGACTCAATGATATGCCATAAAAATTAAATTCTTTCAAAGACAATATACTGATAAAGAAGAAATCAGACTCAATTATCTAGGAATGAATTAGTTTTAAAATGTGTCAATAAAATTTCTACAAAAAAACTTAAAAGATTTCACTCTGATCTACTATAAATGAATCCTTGCTCCAAATACATTTTGGGAAGTCACCATAGATGTCTCAGATGAAACCAGGTGTGGTGGCTCATGCCTGTAATCCCAGCAGTATAGGAGGCCAAGGCTAAGGACCACAAATTCAAGCCCAGCTTGGGCAATTTAGTGAGACTCTGTCTCAAAACTGAAAAATAAAAAAGGCTGGGGTTGTGGCTCAGTGCAAAGGCCTCGGGTCAAATCCTTAGTATCACCCCTCTCCCTAAAGCCAGGTAAGATTTTAGGGCCCTGATCAAACATCTAACAACACTAACCAGAGAGCCAGCTGGTTTTGGCTGAATGACACATGACACCCCCACCATGTGAGGTGGCAGATGAGGGCTCCACTCAGTCCGTAAACAGGAAATACAGAACAAGGAGAAAGGGATGCATTAAAGACCGCCAGTCTCATTTGTAGGGGTACTGTCTAGGTGCCTTCTTCACTCTCAGGAATACAAATTTAAGATGATACTGTAAAGTTTAAAACCTGGCAAGGCCAGGGGTGGTGCTATATGCCTATAATCCCAGCGCCCAGGAGCTGAGGCCGGAGGATCACAGTGAGTTGGAGGACAGCCTAGGCTTTGTAGTGAGTTCAAGCCAGTCAAAACTACAAAGCAAGACCTTAGCTCAACAAAACAAAACCAACAACAACAACAACAACAAAAAACTGGGGAGATTCTTAAAAGGTGATTTTTGACATTTGTGTTTGATAAACTATATAACTATTATCTTTATATATTGGGGGGGGTACTGGGGAGCAGCAGAACCACTGAGCTGAATCCCTGGCCCCAATCTTTATAATTTTTAAACAGAATTCCCTGGTTTTTTTCCCTTGGGCTGCTTCCATGAGATTTCCAGGGAAAGTCTCTAACTCTACAGCACACTGAGCATTCTGAAGAGAAGCTTCGAAGGAGTTGTGAAGTCGGGGAGAAGAGGATCTTGCTTCCTCTATGGCTACACTTAAACAGCATCATGCCCTAGAGACTGACAGCAAAGACACAAACGAGATTGCACGTAGGAATTAAGATGACTTCTTTTTCTCTAACTGAATCATGCTGTTTTGAGCTCAGGTTTGGTGGGGTGTGGGGGAAGAACCTAGCAAATATCACTATCATCTTCGGAGTTTCTCTTGCAGTGGAACCCTGAGACAGAAAATCAGCAACTCACACCTGAAGCTGGCGTTTAGCACTGAGTCCACAAAGACAACACAGAGACCTGTTTCATAAGGATTTCACCTCCTACCGCTACAAATATGGGAAGTGCCTGCATTCACCGGGAGGAAAAAAATTAAAAGTGCTTCTTTGGCTTCCATCCCTCAGCTCAATAAGGTCAGACCCTAAAACTCCAGCTGTTTCAGTGACTATGGTTCAGTAAGCCCGGAAAACAGGTAAATGGCTGCTTAATTACTGATAATCCAGATCAGCTATGAGTGGCCAGAGAGGCTGACTGCAGAAAAGAATGGCATCATTTACCACTCGGCTTCCAAAAACTGGGAGAGGGAGACAAACAAACAGCCTGTAAATACCTAGCCAGAGGTTCATTCAATGAGACTGAAGTCCAAAGAAGTGATTTACCCAAAGCCTTAGCATCCTTTAACAATTGAGAACAAGAGCCCCGGGTGCCTCACGGCAGTTTAACAAGATCTGAAACTGCCCAAGACTCTTTCGAAGCAAACAGTGGGTAACACACTTAAGGGTCACGTATGCGGGCCGCTCAAGGACACAGTGCCAAAACTAACAGCTCCCCAGGGCCACAGCAGAAGTCAAGAGATGAAGCCACTGAGCCAGACTGCCTATAGGGAGGAATCGCAACTCCTGCGCTTTCTAGAAGCGCTACTTCGGAGTTGCTTAGTCTTCCTGTGACTCCTCAGGTTCCTCAGTTATAAAACAAGGATTGCCAAAATAAGGACGCCGTTAGAACTCAATGCGGTAACGTCACAGGAAGTGTTAGTCGGCAAGGTGGCACCAAAGCAAGCCCTCAAACAACAAAACAACAAGTTACTGAAACACCTCTCTGCCCGACGGACCACACACACACTGAACCGATGTCTTAAGACAGCCAAACCTGGCTCGTTCAGACCACCAGAAAACCTGACACGGAAGCGGGGATTCTTCGGCAGGGCTGAAAGTCCTGCCCTGCGATTCGGCGGAAGCGCACCGTGACCTGACCTTGGAAGCCTTTTCGCCCTTTACGACGATCTCAAAAGCAGCCCAGTCCGCGAGGAAGTGTGCCGCAAACGCGTATGTGCCGGTCACACTTTCGCGTTATTTTTCCAGCCCGGGCGGAGACAGGGTTGAAGCGCTCGGCTTGAACACCACAGCCGTCAGAGGGCGACCCTTCTCTCCTGGCCCAGGCTTCCTTCCTAGTCTGCGGCCTCCACTGGAGGCTCGGGAGGCTCTGCCTCCGATTTCTGCACAGCGGCTCCGGAACACGCAGGAGGGCAGGCGACGCCGGGCCTCGCTCCAGAGGCAGTCCGACTCCACGGGGCACGGGGAGGCTCCCGGCGGCCTTGACCTTGCGCCCGTGGCTC